AATTGTTAACTTCTAATGCAAATACATATGTACATACATACATAAAATGGTACATATTTGATCGTACATACAAGTAGCTCTTAGTAAGCTCTACTGAGCGTATGAGTAACTAATAAATAATGAGGAAATACATATCTCCGTAGAAAATAGGTGCACGTCATAATGCCTTACCAGCAGCTTAAGGGGCAGATAGACCGGCCTCGAACCTAAGGAGGCGAACTGCAGAACCAGACAGGGGATGAACGGTAAACTGGGCGAATTCGGATGCAAGCTTACCCAGCTTGCGAGCTTCGCAACAGAGCTTTGCCGATAGTCTTATTTTCACCTGTGAGATCTCTGCAAGGCTTTCTCTAAATGGTTTGCCAAGCGTGCGTAATCTTCTTATGTTATTTATGTAAGCCAATAAAAGGCCTTACAAGGAAACTCAAGAGCACAGGAGGGTTACTCTGTAATGATATGCGGTAGCAGAATTGAGGCTTCACGCATTTATTTTTTCCCCTTTCGCATTTAAGGCTCACTGTACCGGATTCGTAAATGAAAGCAGTGCTGCCAACGCAATTTACCAACAATGCTTAATAAAGAAAGATTTCTTTTTTATCTTTTTAACAAATAAGATATACATTTTTATTTTATAAACAGCGATTTTAAAACTAAACGATTTTCGTTATTTATTTCAAGAATATGCAGGCATAATTAAGATTCAATTTGAAACATTTTAAATACTGCTATATTCTTTTTCATTTAATAACTAAATTTATATTAGGTATACATTTACAAAAAAAAAAATCCGCCGAATAATTACACTGTAGGGAAAATTTCAAGTTTTGAAATGACAGTGCGACAGTAAATTTTGCACACACAAAACTATTGGTAAATTATAGTACAATTGCGTACTTAGCTTTTCTCTCTGACGCCAGTGCTTTTTTTAAGGACTTTGAATATTAAAAAATATGCTTATTTCAAAAAATTATTTATCAAATTCAGTGCAGTGTAGGATGACAATAAGAGAATACAATAAAATATAACAATAAAGGAAGAATTATAACAGAATAAAATAAAATTGCATAAGGACGAATGCTTATAGAAAATCTTTTACAAATTTTATTCTTAAAAATTCTTGAAAATGTGCAATATATATATTTTTTTTTAAATTATTGTTTGAGGGCTAATATACACACGAACTCACCATCGAATTTTTTCCTGCAAACTTTATTATCTTAAAAAGATAAAATTTATTAAAAGCACATTTTCAATACCTGTTCGTCCTCATAAACCAAAATACTATTGTTTCTAAATTCTACAGAATTCTACCCATATTGTTATTCTTAATTTCACTGATTTTTATACCCGAGCGCACTTGTTCACAAGAGTATAATAACTTTGTTCGCATAACGGTTGTTTGTAACAGCCAAAAATAATCGAGATATAGAAAAATGTATACATAAATGTTCAAAATTAAAAGAGAAATCGATTAAGCCATGCCTGTCCGTCTGTCTGTCCGTGTACACGATAACTCGAGAAAACATTGAGATATGTCCACGAAACTTGGTAGGTGGGGTTTCCCTTCATCCAAGATAGGTTGGGATTGAAAAGGGACGACATCGGGCAATAACTACGCCGACCTACCATATAACGGTATTTTTCGAAATATGTAAATACCACGATATTTCCGTAAATACTGGATCCAAATTGTTAACAGTTGGTACGCGAAGTTGAATTTTGGCATAAAATAAATCAGTTATGAAATTTTTTGAAAATCGGCGTGGCACCGCCCACTTACGACGAAATGCCGTATCTCTGTAGTCCCTTCACCAATCCCCACCAAACTGGGTACGAACATTAAAAAATAAAAAAAAAAATTGTCGGTTAGGGTCTTTGTGGATTAAGGTAACAATATATTAATTTGGAAAAGTTTGTTACCCTTTAGTCGACACCTCGAATTTCCTTCCATGTTCCATCTTATACTTATTACACATTTTGCCTTCTTCGCTCTTTTTTGCCTCTTTCTGTTGTAACCAATTGGCACTAATGAACAATAACGCTCAACCCAGAAAAATAGCAAGCTACACAATGAAGTTGGTGTGTATGTATCCGGCCTTCTTTTTATGTAATCGTACATACTTTGTTTGATGATTTTTCAACACGTGTTCTGGCACGTCACGGCGTATGAGTAACTGCAACAGACAACGAAATTCTGAAATCCTCAATTAATGGCATAATCAACAATTGGCATTCACATAAGTACTTTGGAAGTGTAAATCATTTGCTGGTATTTCATATGTACATATTTCATATTATTTGCGCAATTCCGATTTCACAAAATATATGTACATATTTTTACCATAATTCATAATTTTTATTTTTTTTTGGCAGGAGAAGCAAAAAACATTATAAAAAGAATATCAACAAATTAGTACGGGACCACCTCTGAGACACTACCTATTCGATAGGGAAAGAATTATCGAAATCGGTTGACGTGGTCCAAAGTTACGCATAACATACATACAAAAAAAAATTATTCCGACGAATTAATAACCTTCTCCTTTTTTTGAAGTCGATTAAAACAGGTAGGGCTTCTTAAAAAGTGGCGTGTAACTCCGTTGTTTTATTGAAGGTGTATTTTAATATATGCCAACAAAATCTGTCGCTCATTCGCTGGAAAAATGTTGCATACACCCAGCTATTGTTTAACGTCACCTGAATCTGCTCCTTCACTACAAATAAATCAGTTTCTGGATCTCTCATGCCCATAACGTCTCCATGTCATTGATGACTTTGATGTCTACAAAATTAATGTATAAACTAGTAATCGCGTTAGCGGCACTGACTTTCTTACCAATTCTTTTGTCGAATTCTCGGATAGTGTTCTACCAAGATATGGATTGCACGGATGAGTAGCAAGAGCTTTTAATCTGCTCCCTGCTACATAAAATTTACAGAAGGCTTAGAAAATCACTGACCGCGTGCAACGTTTTGCTCCATCACTGCCTACTCAAGTTCATATGAAGTAAAAGCTCTCTGTGGTCAGCACTCATTTAGACTGGTAGACAAATAGAACTTTAATTCTTCGCACATTTTCAATGTATATACACAGCTTAAAAAGCTCTTCACGTGAGCAACATAGACGCACATAAGTTGGTTAAAAGCTTGCAACTTCATTACTTCCAAGAAATTTGTGTGTCCCTGAAATTTTTTGGGGCGCTGACAGTGCACTGAAGTATGAAATGTACGCTTCTGTCTTTCTGCCTAAATTATGCTCACGTAGGCATCCTTTTAAGAGCGTCCACCGGCACCAATCGAAAATTGGAGCATCCTTTTTATTAAAGTAAATTTCCTTTGAACTAATAAAAGCACAAAAGTAAATCAAGTAATTTTTGTTAAATTACATAAGATCATCTTATTTAAAAAACTTAAAATAATTTATAAACTCCCTTGAAGTATATTAAAAATTAAAATTTAATTTAAATATTCATACAATTATAACTAAAATACACTAAAACTTTTATAGATATGCGAGAGTTACTAGAAATTTTGATAAAGATTGCACACCGTATAAGCGGACCTTTCAGAGCTTTTGAAAGTGATAGACTTACACTTAAGTTAAGGATGAGATGAGGATTTACAAAACCATTTTACACATTTTTTGTTTGTTTTCAAATACATAGCTCAGAAAGCTTTTACGCAGAGGTCAGCTTAAAATGCGACAAATTCAAAACGGAGTAAATTTTGGAAGTTCTCCAGAGAAAATTTCTCGGCACAAAAACTCTATGAGCTTTTGGGGCTTTTTGAGCTTTTGAGACCCGTTGGACTTTAAAGATAGTAATTTATAGACATCAGACAGTTAGTAGACTATATGATTCAGAGCTTAGGTCAGTGCTAAATTTAGAATAAAGTTGGCAGTTTAGCAGGAATTTGGAAAAATTGTTCGACACGAAATTCTCTTTCAAAATACATAGATGCCTCTTGTATAACCGACCAAATAATTCTCCCTGCTCAGGTAGCTTTTAAGCTGAGTTCAGCACATTGTATTTGTAAGGCTGAGTCAAAGTTACAAGTTTACAAAGTAAATTGCTTAGGGCACAATATAACTTTGAGCATTTGTGTAGCTTATTTAGCTTTTGAGACTCTTAAGCTTCTGTGAAGCTTTTTGAGCGTGTGAGACTTGTTAAGCTTTTGAGCTTTTGATACTTGTTATGCTTCCGTGAAGATTTTTGAGCTTTTGAGACCCGTTGAGCTTTTAGTCAGAAAATTATTATTTATTTTGCTAGCTGATGCATTTTCAAAATAAAATTGACACTTTTTCATATTTCCCATTGCGCGACTGCGAATACCAATGGCGTGTAACTTACAAATACCAAAACACAAACCTGATTTAAAGTTGAAGGTCACGCGCATAATTCTTCTAATCAACATTCTTTAATTCTGACTAAATTTTTTATAATTTTAAGATTATAAATAAGTTTTCCGTGAAATTTGTTGTTGAAAACTGAACAAAGAAATATATTCTCATAAGCAGATACCCCCATAACCAGAAAGCCCAAGAGTTTTAAGTGTGTAGTTATTATTTATATTACAACGAAAAGCCTACTTACATCACCAGATCTCGCAGTCCATTGATTATAGAAAACTTATTAATAAATTGCAAAAAAAAAATCTCTAATAGCCCCGTCAGAATGAGTACTTTGCGTACGTGACGCCCAAAGATGCAACTGACAGTTGAGTAGACCGTATAAGTTTGCATAGAGAACGTCAGATTGGCAACCCTTGCGTCGACGGACTCAACGAACGTTGGCCAACTCTCAACATTTGACGCAAGTACGTCCGTCACTGCTGACAGTTGTATTACCCTAAGTTTATAAAAGACAAGACACTTGATAATATATATTATTTGTCACATTATTTGAATAAAGTAGACGTCCAGACATTAAACAGGCTTCGAAAATTTTAAGTCAGTGACGAAGACAATGAAAACGTTGGAATATTTAAATAAAAAATGTATCTGATTTTTGGTTGCAAATGCAGCACCTTCATTGTGGCGCCGTTCTACATTCCTTTACGTTACGTCAGTTTCATCCTTGAGCGTCACGTATGCGCAAAGTACTCATTCTGACGAGGCTAAATATAAGCCCCTCATACTTTCACAAGCACATCATTATTCCGCTCCAATGTCTCACACTCTTCGCGTAGCTTTTCAAATTCATTTTGATTTTTGTCACATAGTTGCATTAGCTGCGTATTGATCGTAATAACACGTTCGCGTAGCATCGGCAAGGTGCACTGTCTCAATCGGTCCGGTTGTTGGACATCTTCTCGTATAGATTTCACCTTATCGCGCAATTCCTGCACCTCGCGAAATGAGTTTACACGATATACCTTCAAATCCTCTTCTAATTGCACTTTCATACATTCGATTTCATTAGCCGATTGCATTGCTTCAATGCCAGCCGGTGGCTGCGCAAACGCTGTGGCGCCATTGTTATTGTTGGCACTAGCCGGTGGATCCTCGTAGTTAGCCGGATTCAATTTCACCTGACTACATTCGAGATACTTTTGTTGGGTCTTCAGGCGCGTCAGCTCACAGAGTAGCGTTGTGCAGGATTTCTTCTTAAGCAATGTGTGTGCGTAAGTGCTGGTGTACCTAGTACCTGCACCTGCTGCAGCAGCACCTCTCTGCGATGTCAGTGTTGCCGCCGGCGTCATCGTCGTCATAGTCGTAGTCGTCGTTGGCGCGGTGCTGACGCTTTGTTTACCAGCCAACGCCTTTGTTGCCGCCGGCTTCGCATTGTTGTCGTCGACTTTCATGCTAAGATTTTTTGTTGATGCTGCCACGTGGGAATGCTGGCTGTGCTTTTGTGACGTGGATTGTGTGGCTGTCCTCCTTGGTCGATGTACTTGTTTGAACAACTTGTACTTTGGTTGCTCGGCTGCTTCAGTTTTGTCGCTCAAGGCGCTTTCTGAAACTCAACTAGGCAGAAGCTGACTGTCGCTTGGGTGCAGCGTGCAGCGCCTATATACATGTGCAGCGTACACCTTATTCAATCGTCCACTAGTTGTGCTCTTCTTCTACTTTCAGCAGGACCTCTTACGTAGCCCTACTCGTAACGACACTTCATGCACTACGTAGCTATTTAACTAATCGACTGTCTGTGGCTGTCGCTACTACTATTGCGTGTTATTTACACCAAGTAATCAAACGTGATCCAGTTGCCACCACCAACCGTCGCCAACACCGCCGTCGCCGCAGCCTTTTTATGCCTTATTTGGTTCAACCAACGCAGGCACGTTCCCCTCCCACTTGTATCCAGGCTATGTGGTTGGTAGCCGCAGTTGCTAGCCGCAGTGTCCTAGAAAATCAACTGCAATACTTTCCGCTCTCCCGTCCAGTCCGCCAGTCACCAATCTTCGTCGAGCCGCTTGGTTGCGTTGCGGGAATGTGTTGCGGGTAGTTTAATCGATACGCGCGCCTCTGGTAAAGCGCTGCTATTGTTTGCCACCTTTTTTATCGTGATTGTTTTGCCTATTCTATTTTTTTTTTTTAGTTTTTGTGCTGGTTTTTCTTTGCTTTGTTTTGCTTTTACTCCGGGGTCCTTCCACTTCTCGCTATGGATTATTCGCTCGCTATATAGGACTCCATGCAATTTTACCCGCCTTCTGTCGTTGCACGGTTTCTGTTATTGTTACGTTAGCTCACCGCTATCTGCTTCCTGCTCGCCGCCACCATACGATCTGTATTTAAATGTATAAAATTAATTGTTTTTGTTTTTGCTGCTCCTATGCTCTGATTTGCCCTCTGCCAATGCGCTCATCTCACTAGCTCGCTCACTCATTCGCAGAATGCTGAAGAACTAACGTCAGCCGCTTTTGACTTGGCTGGCATGGCCTGACCTGATTGCTTCCGAACACCACAGCGCGAAAGTTTTTAATCTTCTCTTTCGCTTTGATTTAACGATTTATTGTTTTTTGTTGTTCTCTTTACTCCATTCATTTTAAATTCGTGTCAAAGGTGACTAAACTTTGTGTTACTTTTCTGTTGTCTGGAGACCATTCTAATGATTACATAATATCTACATATAAAGAGTTTTGCAAAATTGTTATCGATATACATACATATTTACATAAGTAATACGTCAGATGTACTTATCTATATTACGCAAATAATAAAAATACTTTACAACTTCTTGCAGACAGCAAAAAACCAACAATGTTGAGTAAGGATAGGCAAAATGGTCCGTTTGTGACCTGTCACAAGGTACACGTTGACGCTCTTCCTGAACTTAGTGTTTTCTAGTGACGTCTGCTTGGCAACCAGGGTTGCCACTTTGGTAAATTGTTGCCAAAATTGGTAGAAAAAATTTGGGTTGGTAAAAAGGTAAATTTCTTCTCATTTTGGTAGATTTTTGATGAACTTTCCGTTCCCGATTTATTTTTCGTAGTTATCTCTAAATATATTATAAATTTCTTTGCATACTTTTTATATAATTACATACTTATAAATGTATATCGATATAAAGCGAACATATCGCGCTCCATTCAAAACTAATTTTACTGGAATCCCGAGGAGCTTTTGATTGCCTAAATATTTTAAATGATTATTTAAATATAAAGAAAAAATTAACAGGTATGTAATTACGCACTATGATTGATCGCAAAAAAAAATTAAATCAAAGCCATTTTTTATCAATGGTAAAAAATAAAAAAAAAATCAACGTGAATTTTAAGCAGCACATTGTTGGCTATAATCAAATAGTATTTGCTTTGAAACTCCATACCTTAAATTGTTCTACAAATTCCGAGTAAAAAATTTGAAATTTAGACGAAATTTTTTGGAATTTTTTTATATGTTGTATATTGTTTGAATCCCCGATTTTTATGAATTCGGTTAAAGCAGTAAAAAAATTTTACTCGAAAAATATTGCCAATATGAGAAAAAATCACTTTTTTGAGTCACTGTATTTGTCTATAATAAATCGAGTTGAAGTTTTTCAAATAATGAGGTTTCATTGTTGCCTTTAGTTCCATCACTTCCGATTTTGGTTGAAAGAAACTGAGAATATGCCAATAATATGACTCAAATACCGTATAACTAGTTAAATAAAAAGTTCTTAAAAACAATTTTAATTCTTATTGAAATAACTAAAAACAATATATAAAAAACTATAGTTTTAACAATATATAAAAAAACTATAGTTTTAATTAAAATAATTAAAACAATAACAAAACTATAGTTTTTATTAAAATAATTATAAAAAAGTTATTGGTAGATATTTCCCAGATTTGGTAGATTTTTTTCAAGTGGATGGTAAACATTTTTTTTCGTCAGTGGCAACCCTGTTGGCAACGATCAGTATGTCGTTCTCTAGCAAGGGATCCTGAGCACTGTTGTCCGATTAGCTTTAAAATGAGTTCCGTGGCCGCACCCAGCGGTGGAGTTCATAGTGAAGCCATTGGCCATACCGCTAGGATAGACCGGGCAATTATCTCCAGCATCGCTCCTTGTCAAGGAAAGAAAAATTCCAAGAACTTGTATTTGTAGCAACTAACGACCTTGACGCTCTCCTTCCAATCGAGTTCGGGCATCAATTTCATGAACCGGGCATCCACAAGTAGCCAGTAATTTGGCGTTCAATTCCCTTTATCCTCCACTTTGTCGGTGATGGCTTTCTAAAGATCTGTCTTCCTTTCTTTCCCATTTCGAGAAGGACGATGGATCTCTCTTCCTAATTTTCCTAGAGAACAAGTTCGATCTCCCGTAGCCGTTTCTGGTCTTCTAAGATAGGCTTAACTCCCCGGAATGGTTCAGCGAGAAAGAACATCTCTGCTTCGGAGCCAATGTCATTGACGTGACTTGCCTGCGACAACGAATATTCATCGCCGAAAGCGCTGCTGACGGCGCGACTTTTAAACTGTGATCCGATTTGCTGAGGTTGTGTTAATAAATGTACCCAGTGATTAAAATTAACCGAGGGTGAAGGGTAAAGCGCAAGCACAGTGGGAGAAATTTACGGTATTACGGCACACCAATATTAAAAAAAAAAAAACAGGTTGAGTCAGTTTAGCCAGCTCGGCTTTTCTTACACAAAATACTCTTTCAAAAAGTCATTAAATTAATTATTTAATAAGTCTCAAGTGCTCTCTATTTTTTTTTTTTTGTAATATGTAAGAAATGTTACCCTTTTCTAGATTAAAACCAGTAAAATAAATAAATAAAATAAAAGGGCTGAACTTTGGCTTATCCACCTCGCTCTTCACCTGACTACAGTAAATATCTACTCTTATTTCAAGCAACTTTACGGTCCCTGGACAATGTAAATGCATAACAGGCGAACTTGTCAGGAAGACGGCCTACCTGTTTGACGTCAACTGCTCTCAGCATTAATTTCCTACGAATCATTACTTAAACCGAATATCTGGTCCATTGCCGGTCTGGATGATCTGGCCCAACTTCGACAAGAAAATGTCAAACTCATTTATTCGCCTCGCATGTCCCCTGCTCATGCAAGTGATGGAAATTACAATTATAAAGCAGTATCTCTGCCACTGCCACTGGAGCTAGAAGATGCTCATTTCACCTTTACTTCTTTGGCTGTCGAAGCGCAGCAGGCACTCATGAAATCTCCCGTTTGGCGATCACTAGTACTTGAAATCTGAATACGTTTAAGTTGTTTCGTTTCGAATGATAACCTTACCTTAAAACCACTGCAAAAGAATCTTACAGATTTTACGTCATACCTTAAAAGTGTACGCATACCGACACACATACCCAAATACATAAGTACACCTGTGATGTCGTAACACATCCTCGCTGCATTCTTTGACTACTTCTTCCCTCAGCCAGTCGATTTGTCAGTTCATTTTGTTACGCTATTATTGTCGTGACAATTCACGACCTGACATCATTGCCGTTGCATTGGAAAATTATGCAAATATCCATGCTGCAGTACTCGTAAACGAAGGCTAAAAAAAGGTATCAGCCGTTACTGTTTTGATTTAACCATAAGGTTAAGTATAAATGTTTGCATTGTTTGTTTTTTTGGCTGCAGGTACAAGAAAGTGTCCTTACCTTACAAACCAACAGTATCCGTTTAGAAAGTGAATTTAAAAATATTCCTTGAATACTTAACTACAACACACTGGCCACTTCTAGGCCACCAGTTGGCCAAACATGCAGGTACTACTTAGCTACATACGATAATGTATTGTATTTGTGTATGTACTTATTTAGCTGTGTTTAGTGAAGGCTTTTAAAGTTTGCCAATATATTTTAGCTCCCCCGTGAATTATTTGAGGTTACAAGTGGAACGTGGAACCGCCTTTAGAAACTTTATCGTTCAAGTAGAAAGACTAGTCGGGTTGCTAGTACATACATATGTACATACTTTTTATACATATATTCGGGTTTGTTTATGCATATACTCGTATGTACATATATGTGCATACACATGTGCATCTAAAAGTTGGTAGCACGTTATAAAACCTCTCTTGCAGCCAGAATGTGAATCAATAAAATAAAAGGACAAATTTAGCTGTGCTTTAAAAAGTGGCGCGATAATAAACTTGCCTATGTATGTACATATGTATGTATGTACATACGTATAATACTCTTATTTTCACATGCAGTTCAAACTATTTGTAGGCAATTTTGCAAAAACATCTTTACCAAAGGTATTATTACATAATTGTCCTCGTCATTAACTTTGCATTCGTCATTGTCGACGGAATGTCCTGCGGTAATAAATACTGCACACAAACATACACTCAAATATTTGTACATACATATATTCATTTTTATTGTAAGTTAAAAATGTTTGTCGCTTACTTAAAACAAGGTAAATAATCACCTGGTCTGTTTTGTTTCTTTAGTTTGGCGTATTAAAAATTGTACTTATACATATATGTACATAGTACATTAGACCGTATCACCTTAATATCAGTAAATTAAAGCTTGCCAAATATCATAAAAATTTTGCTAAGGAAACTCCAATAGAACTACATATTTAAAAAAATATATTTTCCAATGTTGGTGTTACCAAAAAAAAAAAAACAAATCTCGAAATTTTCTTCGCAAAAATACTTTAGAGTCAGGGATGAGTGGCAAAGCCAATTCAAAGCCCATTGCGAAGTTAAATTTCGTCGCATTTTAATATTTTTTTAATTCCTAAATTGGAGAAAAAACAATGTCAGCACATCAGCTGTGATCAGCTGATTAAGTTAAGTGACATTTTGACAAGTTTTGGCGATTTTTTGTTTGTTTGTTCAATCTTTATAATTTTTTTATAAAAGTCTAGCATATTACGTGACCAGCATCACATAAATTCAAATTTCAAAAAGATTCAAAATTCAACAACGTGCAAAAATTGTCAAAATTCAACAAGCTTTAACAATTTCGCCCAAACATTTTTTTTTGTCCAGCATGAGGATACTTTTTTACCGCTTCTCGTTCCATTTTGGGCCCATAAGTTTCGTATTGCTGTAAGTGTGCGATACAGCGACCGAGGACAAAAGGTGTGATCGAAACTAAATGTGATTTTCGTAGTTTTGTTCTCAAAAATGCTTCAAAACCAAAACCAAAATGACAAAAAAACGTCGAGAACGTTCTCAATGGGAATTATATAAGAACAAAATAATTAATTTAAAAAAAAACCCTGTGTAACGATTCTAAAGAGAACAAAATGCGAACAATACTTTCGGGGACATTTCTAAGAGACCGAAATGGGAACAAAAGTTACCGGTACATTTTGGAAAAGAAGTAAATGGGAGGAAGTCTTTCGAAGAACAATTTGAAACTAAAGTCTCAGGAACTTTCTGACAGAGAACGAAACGGGAACAAATCTTCTCTGAACTTTGAAGTGTTTGAATATTAAAATTAAGCAAAAAAGAACTGAAAGATAATTATGCAAATTAAGTCAACGAAGGACTTACGGCACGAACTTTTCTGGCACAAAAAATTAAAAATTTTCCCGGCACAAAAAATTAAAAAAATTTCTATAAGTGGACAGTCTACCCTAATAATCTTTAAATAATGTTCTATTCGTGTACTCGCTTATACTAACATATACTAATCAGTTTTAGCTGTTAGTTGAGTTATAGCTTTTCAAAATCCTCAAAATCCTTGAAATTTATTAGCAACAAAAAACAAAGCAAATATGTGAAAGAAACACAAGTAACGCGTACATATGTATGTACTTGCAAACAACATCAATAATCACACAAAAAATGACAAAGTCATGTCACACTTGTCTTAAGGAGATATATCCATATTCATCTATTCGTCAGCTCATCAATTCATTGTCTGGCCGCTACCCCTACACGCCCACCATGCGCTACCAATTAACGCATTGCCATTCTCTCCTCTTGTCTCAACGTTCTTGAGCGTGTGCAGAAAAATACGGCAAGGCCGTGTGCACTGTAAAACTGTCATTAGTGGCGAAATGTCGTACGTTTTGTATTGTTTTTCTCCTTATGTCTGCGAATTATACCGAGCATACAAATATAAATATGTAGATTAGGGTTGTCCAAAAAAATAAAGTCGAAATTTTAATGCTCTCACCCTTTAGGATTGTGCTATGCCGAAAAGAAAAATTATACCCTTGTTTTTTTTTTAAATCAAAACATATTTAGTGGTCGCTCAAAACGCTCAAAGTTTTGCATGTATTTTATATCGAAAAACAAAACATTTTATTATTATTAACTATTATTAATAGTACCCTTAAAAACCTCAAATCGGTCCCCTCGTTACTTTTTTTTTTAAGTTTTTAGGGGTTCTATAAAAAATAGTTAATAATAGAAAATGGTTAAATAAACAACTGGATATTGTCACCTGTAGACAAACGAAGTTTTCCGATCAAAAAATATTGATTTTCAAGATTTCCATACCACTTCTGCGAAAACTTGTTTGTTTCATATTAAATATTTACATGGAAAACTTTGAGCGCTTTCAGCGACTCTAATTTTTTTTCAAAATAAAAAAACAGGGGTAAATCGTTTTCGATGTAGAATATACCTGGGGGTGAGTCATTCAAATTCCGACTTAACTTTTTCACATGCTTTTTTTGGACCACCCTAATGCAGGTACATACTCGTATGTTTACGTAATATATGTTGGTATATTAACCCAAAATTGTCACTTAGTCAGTCAATCGGGTAAACAAATGAATACGAGTCGGGTGATCTGACGAAAAATACCATCAGAAGCAGTGGTTGAACAATTTGCCCTGAACTGTTGGTAGTGGGCCGTGTGTTTGTTTTTTTTAAAGCAAAATGCCTTTGAACAATAATAACAAAGCAAAGTAATGAAATGAAAAATGGCAACAAAATTACTTTACAAATACTTAATCATTTCGCACAAGTTAATACAAGTACTTGTACGTGCATACTTGCTCGTACATCTGATGGTGGAAGGTATGTGAATATTTTCCAATTTTCCTTTCTCAATATGAGGAATTCGGCTATTTATGTAGTAAAAAACTTATATATGTACCCTAGGATGCCTTATTTAAGAAAAAGGATAAAAATAAAAAAATTAGAAAATTTTGGCTTAATTCTGGGTCATTCGCGAGCTGGATCACGATTTAAAATATGTAAAACCTGTCTTAACTGATTTTCGTGATCTTGAAACCTTAAGAAAGATATGTATCCCCTTTCTCTCGCAATTTAGAGTGCTTTCAGAAAAAATTTGCTCAAATATATAATGCTTGTTCATGAGCTGAAAATATGTTAATACAAATTGTTCGATTCTCTAATTAAATCAAAGTGTTTGGCAACATAAAGGATGAAATTTCTGAACGTCAACACGGGTTCTTCCCGGGGACGAATCAAATAGTGAGTTAAGTTAAAAATCAGGAACAACTGGATGTAATTTACACAGACTTCTCTAAAGCCTTCGATAAGGTTAGCCACACTATACTTTTGCGGAAGTTGAGGAGTCATGGTGTTCATGGGAAACTTATTGATTTCTTTGCAAGTTTTCTATCTAATAGAAAACTATTTGTAAAATTAGGTAGCACTATTTACATCAAGAGTTTCTATTATTTATAAACGATTTACCAAATTACTTTAAGTTTGCCAAGTACCTAATGTTTACGGATGACGGCAAACTTTGTTCCACTGTACGCGATATAATAGATGGTAATAATCTGCAAGTTGATCTTACCTGATTCACTCAGTGATATACATTTAACCATTTCAACCTCAATATAAACAAATGCTGTGTTGTCACCTTCTCTAGAAAGTCTAACAACGTCGTATGTAGTTATAGTATCGATAGTATAACTAGTAGTTCGGAAATGACAGATTTGGGAGTTATTTTCGACTCAAAGCTGACAATTGCTAAACATATAGACTTCACTGTATCAAATTTTTTTGCGATATTGGCTTCATTTCTGATGATACACTACGAATTTCAAAGAGGAGGTGAGGAGCCGCCTTGAGTATTCCTCATTAATATGGAGTTCATACTATGAATTATACTCAAATAAAATTGAAAGAGTTCAAAGAATTTTTACAAAAATCGCCTTGCAGAAATTACCTTGGGAAAGTGTCCTTGCACGACAAAAGATACTATTTCTCCATAATCTTTATTTATAATGTTGTAAATAGAAACATCAACTGTGAGGATTTATCCAATTCAGTCAATATATATAATACTCCGTGAAATCTAAGGAATAATCATATATTGATAGGCAGAGTGCATTCCCCTAACGAACCGATTACTGGGTACGTTAGACTGTGTATTGATATTAAACTTAGTTAAAGGATGTTCGAGCCGAATTTGTATAGTATTTTTAATTAAATAATTAAAATATTATAATTAGTCTGTAAGAAATCAATTCTGGAGACTGAACTAATAAATAAATAAATAAAAGTACATTAGGGTGTCTCAGATTTTTTCTGCAAAACTCGATATGCATAACCTCTAAATTTCTTCCCTCTTGACCTTAATAATGCTACAAGGGGAAAACTCCCAAGCAAGCAGCTAAGTACTTTTCGGTTATTTTATTGATCCCAGCCTTGTGGAGCCACAAGGCATTTCAATGCAAATCTACTTTGAAAGCAGAATCTTCCTGATCTGTGAATTGCACTCCCACTCCTTTAGAGCAGTATTCTCTGCTGAAACCGATCGTTAAGCTAGCCCTACGTCCATCCGAAGCAAGCTCACCATATAATGCTCGCTGAGTGGTTCGGACCGCCGAACTTAAATTTATAGGTGTTTAAGTTGGAAGCTTTTCGTTTTCGATTTTTCGAGTTTTATGAAGGACTCCAGGCTCTTTAACAATTATTTTTTGCCCTTTATTAATTACTCCTTAAATAACATTTTTTTCTGATTTTTTATTTTACAAATCCAAAATATCAGTTATTTTTATTCTTTAAATTATATATCTTAGATAAAAGTTATTGAAGACTTTTATTTATAAAAGTAGTCAATAGTTTTGTATTTTTATATTTTGTTTAGTTCGATTGTACTTATTTTAGTAGGCTTTTATATTTTGCAATACTGTTTTATTCCATTTTGTTTAATTTATTTTATTTTATTTTATTTTATTTTATTTTATTTTATTTTATTTTATTTCATTTCATTTTATTTTATTTTATATAATTTTATTTTATTTTATTTTATCTTATTTTTTATTAACCTACTTCCAAAAAAGGAGGAGGTTATCAGTTCGTCGGAATACTTATTTTCTTTGGTTTATGTTACCGCCTAACTTTGGACCACATCAACCGATTTCGATAATTCTTTTTGCATCCGAAAGGTAGTGTCCCATACTATTCTGGTTAAAATCGATCATTGGATCATTGCTGAAAATTACTTGTTATTGAATTTATTGCTTTTTTATCCCCAATGAACATAGTATTTCAGTGATCAAATACTTCTCTTACAAAATTTTTCTTCACTTCCAGGTAGCGATAAAAATTATCGATAAGACATGCCTAAATCGGGAATACCTAACCAAAACATTCCGCGAGATTTCCATTTTGAAATCGCTGCGCCATGCGCACATCACTCGTCTCTATGAGGTGATGCAGTCAGAGACAATGATCTATCTTGTCACAGAGTATGCGTCCAACGGCGAGATATTCGATCATCTGGCAGAGAATGGACCTATGAAAGAGCAGGAAGCGGCGCGCGTTTTCACACAATTGGTCTCAGCCGTGCAGTATTGCCATTCGATGGGCGTGGTGCATCGTGATCTCAAAGCGGAAAATGTTTTGCTCGATAAGGATATGAATATCAAGGTAAGAGTGTCGAATACTTACCTGAATACTAACAACCGAAACATCAAATCATTTTCGTTGCACAGCTCGCTGACTTCGGCTTCAGTAATCGCTACGAAGAGGGCAATCCGTTGACAACGTGGTGCGGTTCGCCACCATATGCCGCACCTGAAGTATTTCAGGGTCTGGAATATGATGGACCCAAAGCAGACATCTGGAGCTTGGGCGTCGTGCTGTACGCGCTAGTGTGCGGTGCACTGCCTTTCAATGGTGATACGCTGCTGGAGTTGAAAGGACGCGTGGTTACTGGAAAATTTCGCATACCATACTTTATGTCACGAGGTAAATTTAAATGTTAATTTCAATATAAATGGATTGATTGGAATGAATGTATGCACATATGTACATATGTAAATGTTTTCAAAAATTTTCACATTACTCTTTCTCTCCATTTTTGCCACTGTAACGTGGTTTAGACTGTGAGCACCTCTTACGTAATATGCTGGTCGTTGAGCCAGATCGACGTTATACATTAAAACAAATTATAAAACATCGCTGGCTAAGCGATTGGGCAGCGGAACTGGATGATTACGCACAACATTCCGACAGCAGTCCACTTGCGCGTAGCGACAGCAATAGCAGCTGCAATGCGCAAACGACAGCGACTGTTGCCAACCTAGATACGGAGATAATGAAGAATATGCTACAATTGCCTGGACTGACCGCCGATATGATTGCCGAGTCGGTGCATAATCATCGCTTCGATAATATATATGCCATTTATTATTTGCTTGCCGATAAGTTGCAGCAAAGGCGACGAGAACAACATAGAATGCAGCATCAAGCTGCCTATTCAAGGTACTGCATGCATAGTATTTAGAAACATTTTAAGTTACATATGCATACTTACTTATCAACAGATGTAATCATAAGTTTTTTTTTTAATAACATACGTATATATCTACTTCATTGCACGGTTAAATTCTGCTGTGGTTTAAACTTAGTTTAAATGCTCGAGGTTGCTGCTTTAAACTGAGATTAACCAATCAAATGTCCGCCGGCTCTTAAATATGAACGCAGTTTACGTGATATAAGTTTAAACTGGCCCTAAGTGAAAATATTCTGCCTTATCCTGAGCTTCGCCTGAAAAAAGAATTCACTTATATAACAATAATAATTGCATATTAAGCAAAATCAGTTCTGTTCATGACCGTATTTTTCATAATTTTACTATTTGTATTCTTACTCGATGATATAACCTGACTTCGTAAACATAGAGTGGGTTGGTAATATTTACTTTATGCCTAGGCTTTTGTTCCTGAGCAAAGCGTTATGGCTTAGGTAAACAGAGAATAAACAAAAATTATCGCATGAAAATTTCAACTGAAAGGCTAGAACCCCATAGACCACGCTACTTGGTAATCAGCTGATTCCAATACAAAATTATTCTAGTTTTTTTCGTCACGACAATTTGAAGACATCGTACGTTTAGGACCCGGTCAAAGTTCATCATCAGTAGCGAAGCCACAACTGGTCGTATAGCTGACTTAAGTTCCAACTGCCTTAAAGCTTCCCATACCACCTACAGGCAGCTCAGAAGCCATTGAAAGGGAAGTTGATTAATCTCGAATTTTTCACCATTTTAAAGCTGATCCCGAATCGAATTAAATAAAATGGCAGCTGCTCCCCTAAACTCTCTCTCTTAATTATGGCACGGAGCCACGTAATCTGTATACCCTACAAATTCACCTGACGCCGCCAACCTTAGGCTGGTTTCGCTTCAAAATTCTCTAATTTGAGGTCTATGGACGCCGTGGCAGTTGTCCTCAACACCTCCGTTATAGGAGTACATACATATGTAAGGCAGCCGTACGTACAGCGCGTTTTCGTTATTTTTTTAACTCTGCTCTCCAAAGCAGTTTGCCAAGGTATTCCCTACCTTTTAAAATTTTCATTACACTACCGCTGAATTTAAAAACTAACATTACCTATGTATTTTAGAAAACATTTCAGTGAACCTTTTTAAAAAATATTTAAATATTTTATTTCAGATTACGCAAAACTAGTATCACCACTGGTGTGGTCGATCGCTCTGAGCCAATCAAACAGGAGTCGGTCGATCGCTTAAGTCCACTTACCAACACCAATGCACTACAAAGTGGATTAGGATTTCATTGGAGCGATGTTTCGGTGGATTTAGAGAAATTCGGCGATTTCGAATTAGAATGTCTGGCGCGACCGAATGAGGTCAGTTTAAAATTTCCACAATTACAAAAGAAAACTGTTTTATATATGTATTCAATTTCAATTCATAGCCACAAAACCAAAATCAAAATCACCTGTGTGCCAATGCCGGTGGAAACGGCACTAATACGCGGCGACATACTGTGGGTCCTGGCGATGTGGCACACGAACAGGCGCTTGCCAATCCAAATGTGCCGCCAATCAATTTCAAGTGCACACCAGAGAATAAAGACGAGACTGGTGCCTACTTGCCAATGAACCTGCCAATGTTACAAAATCAACCGCTACACAATTTAACCATAAAGGATCAGCATCTATTGAAGCCACCAGTGGTGATGGGTGCCAGTAGGTTTTAAAATAAATATTCATATTACATCCAATTAACCCCTCGTTTGTGTATATTTTCTTAGGTTCATTTGGACGTCGCGCTTCTGACGGTGGCGCCAATCTACACATCTACTATCCTTCTTCGGTAAATAATATGCAACAAGTTGCCGGTCAAGCGCAACAAATGGACGCGAATGCATATTATATCAGTCCGAATGTGGCAAATCCTGCAGGCCTAAGCGGCGCGCCAACAGATCGTATGCTGGGTCAAGGTGTGGGCGAACAAACACAACTGCAACAGTTGGGTGCCGGCGATTCTGTGAGCGAGGAGAACAACGAGGAGATACAAAAGTGAGTAAAGTGTGGGGAAGTTGGGGAAGCTATCAAGAACTGCATATTTCTATTTTAAATACAAATGCATACATCTATCTATTGTAATAAGTGTGTAGAGAAGAATTTCTTATCTACACTTATTGGACAGCGTCGAAGCTAAAGCTCCTGACCACCTTAATTAGATATATATTTTCGGCCAATAGAATTATTTAAATAAAAATGCACTTTAAGGTTAAGACTACAGTTAATACGACTATAGCCTTTAGACATTACCTTCTGTGCTTCTTATTGAGCATCTTCTCCCGATAGACTGATGGGTAAAGAACTTAAAGCTAGATCACAGATATTTAAATCAAAATTAAACAAATAAATGTTTGAGTCTCGGAAACTCAGTGTTAGCTCGAGGACCAAAGATATCTCCTGTTATGTCTTCTGCAGTTTTCAAGCCGTCTGTTTACCTGTACAGCGTGTAAGCCGAGAAGTGTATCTCTAAAAATTGTCTCTACACGGCTACTGGACTTCGTGAAGCCAAATCCACATTCCCATTTGTTATAATTGGTTGTACGGTCATACCTGGTCATGGAACCTGTTTATATCGTCCACCCATTTTTGAACCCACCTTCTTCCTTTCGTTTTTTTTTCCATGCAGAGACTTGGCGTTAGAGTTAAAAGTAGCAAGATCATCTACATGCTCCAGCATTAAAAATCGCCAGCATCAGAAATCGTCAGCATCAGAGATCGTATTGAAATTCGTCGCCTTTTATTGAACCTCGTTTAGATTCGTAGGACTCGCAGAGTTCTTTCCCAACATGGACAGAGCAGAAGGTTAGGCTCAACGTCCTTCTATACAGCCATATGAGTTTTCAAGGGATCCCAAATTTAGTAGCTCTTCATTCAAAGTATAGTCCATGATATAAGATCCCAAGGATAAATGGCGCTGGAGGTGGATGGAATCTGGACGGTAAGTTCAGATGCCCTGCTGATTTTGGTGCAATGGCAACGGTGTTTCAATCGGAATTCTATGCAATACTGAAAGTGGCAGTGAATAATTGGCGAAAGGTGGCGCGGACATGAAATCTGGGTCTGCAGTGCCAGCCAAGCTGCTATAAAAGCCATGGAAACCGCTCGCACCTCTTAAATAATATAGTCCAGGAATGTAAATAAGTTGAAGCTGAACTCCGTTATAAGATTGAATGTGCTTGATCTATGGTAATCGAGTCAACGAACTGGCTGATGACTTGGCGAACTGCGGCTCCCTGGACTGGAGACAATTTTAAGGCCAAGCATAGCGGGAACTCTTGGGTACATCAAGGATGGTATTAATAAAAACTCATGAGAGTCGTTGCGGTAGTATTAGCGCCGCAAAACAACCTAGTGTTTCCTGAAAAGGTCTGACAGGATGGTAGCAAAATTCTCAGACACAGAAGGAGTGGTCTACATCTGAAAGAAGTGATTATGAGAAACAATCCACGGGGACGACATATGTATGGTCACCCTATGCATCATCGACAATCTACTGTGAACCATCTTGTTTGGAAGATGAGGATAGTACAGAACATTTTCTCTGCCGCTGTCCGATCTTCGCCAGATTAATTTAGATGCCACATTTTTTATCGGATCTATTGAGAATGGACGAGCTACATTCTCTTTCCCTCGACAAAGTGCTAAGATTCAAAAAGGAGTACCACCCATATATCCATAACCTCTAAATCCTCTCCCTAGGCCTTAAGTACAATGGGCAATAATGCCTAAGTGCTTGAAAAAATTGTTTTTAGTTTTTCCGGCCAAATAAATTTCCATTCTGCTGCCGCTGGCTTTGAACAAATTCGCCGAAATTTCCGCTATTTATTGATTTGGATTCCTGAACATCCTGTATGTACTTTAGACTGGGTCTGTCCCCATACAAAAAAAAAAAGTTGCTAATGTCCGCCCCTAAATTTAAAGATTATGTTGAGAGGGTTCTGGAAAAAAATTTTTTTTTTTTTTTTTAACCCTCCGAAATACAGCCGAAATGGTTTTTTCGTTGTAACTTGGTTATTTGACGGCCGATTTTTAAAATTGATATGTCATTATTTTTGTCTTGAGAAGCTTCACTTTTCGTTCTTATGTCTTTTTAAGCTTTGAAGTCGCGTTCGCATGATAAGGGCAGAAACAAAATTTTACCCCCCCTAAAGCATATTTTTTTCCTTACCAAACGAAAGTACTTAAAAATTCAAGAAAATGTTGCCTTCAAACTATATTACTAAAATAATCAACAAAAAAGTTATTTCACTTACAATATTTATTGCTACTTAAGCAAATTTTGGCGCGAATCAAGGCTTTTATATTGGTCTCGGCTTTCTAATTTTGCAAAAATGTGGCCCAGGCGCTTTTCATCAGTGACAGCACTTGCAGACTCACTAACAACACGCACAAACCGTTCGGTATTCTGGGAATGACAGAGGAACTCTAAAAAAAAATGATTTAAAAGTACTATAAGACCCGTGAAGTTTTTAGTTTGAAGATATTTACCTGGGATATTTATCACTTCATTTTCCGAAAATTGAAACATTGTAAGTTCACTATCTGGGTAGAACTGCACACAAGGGGGGTTCCGTAATCTTAAACTGACTCCAATCGATCATGCTGACATACGACTTACTTTCAAAGTTTATTACGCCACGCTTTGGGACCTTGAACACGCGAAGCCCTGCTGGTGGATATTGACGTGCTGTTTTGATTTTTTCGTACCCATCATTACGTATCTCTGGATCAGCGTCGGTTATCATGGCTAATAATATATTTTCTGGGTGAAAATAATATGCATTATTTTCTATAGCTGAACGTATAATGGCTTGAACAGCATTTGATAGTTCGCGTATCCAGCAAATATACTTAAAAACGTGTCTACTTCCATGAATTGCTTGTGGCTGGCTCTTTACAAGAAACCAGAATGGTGCATAAACTTTCACAACAAACTCTACCATGTTTCGCAACTCCGCTGACGGGCTTTCTTTGGAAACATATACCCGAAGTAACCTGGAAGCTGTTGTAAGCCACCGAGCTGTACTGACGGGACCGGGGCTCTTACTAGCGAGATATTCATCGCATTCACCATTATTTACTGCCAAAACCATATCAAATAAATAACGCTGATCATTGCGTAATTCCCAAGAGCCAATATTTTCAGGAATAACTCCCATAGCAATAGCCTCAAAACCACTTACAACCTGATAAGGAAAATATATGTTTTTGTTTATAACATTAACTATTATAGTGTGGACAACCTACCGGGTATTTGGTGCAAGTCATAATTTCAGACCCCAACACCCCTGGCCAAACACCAGGTCCTTTCTGCTTGCCAATATAATGCGTTAACAACTTTTTTAGAGGCAACTCGTTGAAATGTAACAAACACACATTCCACTGCAAGGGCCTTTGTAAATAACGTTCCATTTGTGCATTTACTCCAATTTTATATCCAGTATTGACAGCTGTACCATCACAGCTTATAGCTACAAGTTCGTTTAAGCAATATTTTTGGGTATTAAGAAAACTGTTGGAGGAATTTGTGGGGGGCGAATTTTGTTAGCTGACCTAACCATGGGTAAACGACTTCATAGCTTAAAAGGAAATGTGATGACATGTTAATTTTAAAAATCGGCCGTCAAATACCCAACTTTCAACGAAAAAACCTTTTCGGCTGTATTTCGAAGGGTTAAAAAAAAAATAAAATAAAAATTTCGAAATCCTCTCAACATAATCCTTAAATTTAGGTTACTCTGTTGCATAAAAAAAATCAATTTTTGTTGTACTGTGTTATTATACTTACATCTGAAACTCATGTTGACCTGTGATATTAAAAGTGCTATAACTCCTTTGTTTATTATTTTAGTAATATAGTTTGAAGGCAACATTTTCTTGAATTTTTAAGTACTTTCGTTTGGTAAGGAAAAAAATATACTTTAGGGGGGGTAAAATTTTGTTTCTGCCCTTATCATGCGAACGCGACTTCAAAGCTTAAAAAGACATAAGAACGAAAAGTGAAGCTTCTCAAGACAAAAATAATGACATATCAATTTTAAAAATCGGCCGTCAAATAACCAAGTTACAACGAAAAAAACCATTTCGGCTGTATTTCGGAGGGTTAAAAAAAAAAAAAAAATTTTCCAGAACCCTCTCAACATAATCTTTAAATTTAGGGGCGGACATTAGCAACTTTTTTTTTCGACCCAGTCTAATGTACTTCTAAGGTACATACTCTGGTATGTACTTCTAAAGTGGCTCGTGTCTTATTTCGCTACAGGGTGTTAGTCCTTTTAATTGCTATAAATAAAGATTTCTACGTTCATCTTTGTAAACTAATTTATTTCATTAACTTTCAGATACATTCAAATTCGTGGTAAACGACACACCGTCAGCTGTACGGAAGACCTGTCCATACAGCATCATTCCGGCGAGACTTGTCCCGTGTGTGGTGTTTATGAACCGCCTATAGTGCCACAAATGCCTACCATTATGTCACAGCAGTCGACTGGCGCTGGAGCAACAGGTGGTGGTGGTGGTGGTATTCGCACAAGACGTACCGGCCTGCTGACTGTAACAGAACGACCGCCAGGTTAGTCGAAAATTTATCGAGCTGGGATTTTGTAGCATAATATAATAGAATGAGCTTTTCTAACAGCAAATAGACATATGTACATATACATGTGCTAATAAAAGTTAATTGAACGCTAGTCGTACATACTTAAATACATACATACATAGTATGTGTAAGGCATGACGCGCACGCGCAGGTTCGCTGCTTTACAATTATCAGCCATTTTCGCATTTAGTTTGTATTCGAATAAATATTTGTTCACTTTTAAATTATTTTATACACTTATGGTTGCGGGAAAATAAATACGGACGCGATGTTTTAACAACTTTTAACTTTGTTTATTCAGTGCTGCTTTCTCAAGTAGCTTATAAAATTTATCTACCCTTCAAACACACGACACATTTTTAAAGCTACTTGTGTAAACGGCTCTTAATATTTATTTATTCTTTTTAAAGTATATTATAGCTCACTATCTGACGGAAAACCATGTATCTCAAAATTTTAAACTTTGTGCAAGATTTACAAAATTCGACGAATTTAATCCTGTGTTAATCAATATTTCAAACTAATTATGCAGAATTTAAATTTTTAGAAAAAATTTGGTATGCAGTTTTATAGCAGTAACTAGAACTTGCCGTTATTTTTTGCCCTTTTTTGCTGGCGGTGTTGCGCATTTTCCTCCAAACATATGTATAAAAAAATTTTCCAACATACTCGTACTCCGTATGGGGAAAAAATCGTGACACAGCACAAAAAAATAAATAAAAAATTACTTGAAACTTGCACTTTATTCCACTGAAATTTTAAATTTTGGTGCAATTTTTTCGAATGTTTCCAACTTTTGTAGAAAAATTTAAATTCGGATTTACATGCTTTTTGTTAGGTAATGAGCTATACTTTCATAAAAAATAATAAACATTAAATTAGCAAAATAAAAATAGCTAACAACTTGTTAAAATGTCGCATCCCTATTTACTTTCCCATCTCTGTATAGTATAAGCACCATTTTTTAACATTCGATTTTGTTTACGTTAGATCTTTATTCACAGTTTGTATTTAATGTATATCGATTTATTATTTTTCGTTGTTTTGGTTTATTAATTACATATTTCTTTTTCGTTCTCTTTTCGTTTTATATACGTTTAAAAAAATATTTGGTTTCTGCTTGGCTGTAATGTAAATTGTGTAATAAACTAAAAACCAAACAAAACGATCCTATTTTTCCTAACCTCACCATTCCTTATATCCACTGCCTCCATCATTCCAACCCCATTCTACTTGCACTCATCCTACATCATGCACCATTTGCACACCTTTTTCCTACACCGACCTACCTGCTTATGCCCTGCGTATCACAGTGATAAGTCCTGAGCTTATACGCGAGGTGGAATCGCGCATGAATCGCAATTACTTGCCACCTGCTTTAAAAATGCAGCAACATCAATCACATCCGCACCAGCATAGCGCAACGAATCCCACGCTCAGCCAATCCCCTCCCACTGGCGCCTTTGCGCCTTACCATTCGTCATCGAGCGCCAATATTTTGCCTACCCAGGCATTAGCAAATGCAGCCATGACGGCACAAGGTCCTCCTAACGCTTCTGGAAATAGTAGGCGTGTTCATTTCAAATCCACCAACAAGCTGCCAACCGTGCAAGAAGTTGGTAAGTTCTTTTTTTAAGTTATTTTATTTTCTTTTCTTTTAACACTTTTGTTTATTTGTTAAACATTTAACTTTATGTAAGTTGATTTTATATTCACATTAACTATTTTTGTTAATTTTTAATAATCATAGCCATTAATATTGTATTACTTTTACTTGCTAATGTCAAATTATGTGTTTTTTTTTGTATTTCTTCTACCAGCATTAGCTTTGTTACATGTTTTAATTCGCGATTATATTTTTTTGAAACCTGCGCGCTTTTTACCCTCGACAATGTGCTACCCCCTTTAAATGCGTAATAATTAAGTTATTTTTAATAGTATATCTTTGAAAAAACAAAAATCTGTATTTGATTCGTAGTCGATTGAAAGTGAAATTTAAATCTTAACTTGAGTTTTATATTAGATAATAAGTTATTTCGAAACTGATAGTGTCGCCACATTCGAAATCGCAAAAAAAGCTGCCAACTTTTATTTTTACGCGAAAAAGCTATCTCGATCTATTTATTTTTTTTTTGCAACTCGGAAGCCGTGTGGCTTATTGCAATTGACATTGTCTAGCTTTAGCAGGAAGTAATAAGAATTTAAAATTAATTAACAGTCTCAAATATAGAATCGTTCTATCAATAGCGCCATCCAAGGTAACCTGATACCCGTGTATTAATGGGTTATCTTGACATTTATTCCGATGGCTACCTCTCATCTATGAGCGATGTAACAAACTCTGTGGAACTGTCGTTTCATATGTATACAGCTTTCCACAGGCAAGTTTGCACCGACCCCTACTAGGTCATCGGGTAATCATTGGCCTTAAAAACGCTGCACTTGCTTTCAGATCCTTCAATTATCTGAAAGTTCGAAGCCAATCAGTGATCAGTAATTGAACATGAATTGGCTTTTTTTTCAAAACTACCTTAACCCTAAGAAGGTGTTTCAGTGAAATCATGTGCTTTTTCTTAAAGCTTTATCTCCCCGATAAAACTATAACAGTCCACTTAGTATGAGTACGCGGCCGCAATAAAGAAGTTAAAGCTTTTGCCGATCATACGGGTACCATACAAAAGAAAGCCGGAATAAATCTTGAAATACAGTTCGTAGATCACTCGCATATGAGAACCCCATGCGCCATCTATTAAGAAACTATATTATGGCATCTACGGACTGTACCTCTGAATATAGGACGATTACTATTTCCGAAGACCAATCTCTATTACAAACGAAAAATTGGAATTGCTCTATGAAACCTACATTATATTTCCACAATGAAGCGATGTGTACGGTAGCAAAATTAAATTTCTTCTTGTACTATTTAAATAGACCTCATGGACGAGTTGTTGGTACTAAGTGCGTATTGACATGCTTTGTCATGATTGCGTATGTGGCATACTTTGTACAATTCAGCTTATCTATCAAAGCGAATCTATCACGCAAAGCGAAGCAAGCGTTTTATCTGGTGAGCGTTTATCGTGAGCTAGTGCCAGAACTTGACACCTGTCAGTTTCTAAATCATTTAATTTTTAATAGAAGATACATTCATGCATGTCCGCTGTTGCCTTCTTTCAGTGACTGTCAAACATAAACCAAATCACGCACCTTGCTCAAATCTTTACAGGAGTTTACTAACATACATTTGTATATTAGTTGGCAGGGGCGGAGAAATTGAAAAATTATTTATCACCAAGGTCGAAAAGTTTATGCTATTGCTTATTCTGAGTTTCCGAGCTTAATTTTAACTAGTGTTGGGCAGTATCGATACCAAAACTACTCAGAACTCGATTCCCAAAAGGATCGACCGCACTCGATTTTTAAAAGTATCGATACTGAGTACTCCAAAGGAACTCAGTACTCAAGAAAGAACTCGAAAGTACTCAGTACTCACAAAAGAACTCGAAAGTATTCAGTACTCAAAAATACTCTGATCTCAGTATCGATTCAATGTACTCAGGATTAAGTGTCGAATAGGTACTTAAAAGTACTGTGTTTTATTTACATTAACCGGTATTCAAAAATGATTGTATCAATTTAAAGTTTCAATAGTTTGCAAGTACAATACTAATTTCAATAAAGTGCTGCCAGCTTGTGAGATTAAGCATTGAACTGTTACCTTCATGTGCATCAGTGTTGCCAGAGAAAAATTTCGTTTGGAGCTAAAACGGTCGAAAAAAAGAGCTAAAAAGGGGTAAATAATACTAATAGTAGCTAAAATGAAGAGCTATATATTTTTGTTAAGGTTGAGCATTTGTTGACCAAAGGTTGTTTTTACATTTACCGCAATTTTAATAAAAACAACGAATTTTATAAGTTTAAGTGCTGAAAAAATCTTTTACAACCAAAATAAGGAGCATATATTTCGAGTTCGTTGCTATGGCACTTATAACAGTGAACAAAATTACTTTACAAACTGTTAAAGTCTGTAATTTCAAATATTTGAATTAAATAATTTTTTCGCTACATTTTTCTGGAGAATTTTACTTCCAGCTCTCCTTAAAGGTAAAATTAGTAAGGTAAAACAAAATCCGCGCTATCAGGAAAAGAATTTTCTTCTAATTAATTTTTGAATTCTTTAGCCTAGATCCAAGAAATTTCGAAATTTTCCATTTTATCAACGCTTAAGTTTTGGCTTATATATACCAAATGCAACTAAAACTTTCTAAAGCTAAAAAAGTGCTAGAAAAATTTGAAAATAACTAAAGAAAGAGCTAGCTAAAGTGCTAAATCCAGCTCCAAAAGCACCAAAATGGCAACGCTGATGTGCATATTTAAAGATAGTACTCAGTACTCTCAAAAATACCCGATCCTTAAAAGTATCGATACCAAAGAACTCGATCCTCAAAAGTACTGGATACTCCCCAACACTCATTTTAACGATCATGCTTATTTTGCTTAATTACAATGTATAAAGCTAAGTTCGGACCTTTTAAGTAAACGATCAAGAAATAAATTGCTATTGTTTCGTGTGTGTGAATAGTAGTGCACCGGACCAAAAGCACAATGGGTTTTTCAACCTAGTTAATGTGATTCAAATTGAACATTTGAGAACAAATTCGTATGTATAGCAGTGACTGAACGAGCAGAGGTGCTTGCTGTTATTTGTTGGCCCTCAGCGGCAACACATAATTTGTATTTTTATTTTTCTGTGTTTTGGTTTCTCTTTATTACGAAAAAGCCTCTGTGAAGTGCAGAACCAAATCAAACGACGAAGAAAATTGATTCAAGTAGAACAGTTGGAGACACATTTATAAATCGGCTGTAGCTGAGTGTGTAGAGATGCTTGGAGTTATTTGCTAAGGCCGTCAGAGGCAACATGTTAAAATGATATTAAACATTTTTGTTTTGTATCTCCGCATTACGAAAAAGTATGTGTGAAATGCAGAACATAAACTTATTCAAACGAAAAATCGCCAACCAAAAGTTTGGTGAATGTAAACAAAATTGTGGTTAATATTACCAAATCATTGTTGAAAATATCAACCAAGGCATTGTTAATATTAACCAAAAATCACGTTGATTCCTTTTCAAGTTTGAATTTGGTAATATTAACCAATTTTTGGTTGATTTTTCTCTCAGTGTCCAAGGAGTTTTGACATCTGATATTTTACAGCCTACTATCTCATTTTTTTCTTACGAAATAAGGGAACGGGCATATATTTCTGTTGAAAACTAGAGTGCCTTATGGCACTCTTCACAAACAAACTTTAGCAAACCATAGTAGAAAGCGTAACAAATTTCTTAAGAAGTGCTTTAGAAAATTTGGCTCAATAAATTTTTCTTGTCCCTTTATTGGTCTTTTTTTGCTCATCAAACTAAAGATATGTTTGCAAATAATAACATAAAAACAGATTTGGTATTTTTTAACACCTAACTTCAATACAATACAATTAACTTGGATACAAAAATTGTAAACCAATGGTTCGTCTCTACGGGAAGGCATTGGTGCTGTTGAAGAGATTAAAAATAATTTAATACAAAGAGGGAATAACAAATATTAAAAAAAATAAATAAAACGACCAGCGTAGATCTCTATCTGAGAATATCAAGCAACACTTCTATGTCTATTGTAATTTTTCAATCCTTGAAATAAACTTAAATAAAAAAAAAAAAACAGAACGTCAAACTGTACTTAATTTTTGTGGTTTTGCGAGCTTATTTACAAGTATATTTACCAATGTTTTAGTGCTTATCTAAGCGCTTAAAATGGATTTTTTCTTGCTTATTTTTTTCGGCCGTGTTTATCACTTACTGCGTATTTCCAAACAAAAACAGTTACCTAGCAAAAAATAAAGATAAAAAAATGTACACTGCTTCTGATATTTTATTGCTATTGGAGACCAAAAACACATACAGCCTAACAAAAAAGCAGTAAGAATAAAAACTTGATTATGGCAACTTAACTTAACTTAACGTAGCTAAGAACTTAGAAAATCCAAATGAAACAGACGTCGACGTGGCATTAAGTTGCGTTAAGTTTCGGCTGTCCAAATATAAGCAACATTCATTTAAGGGAATTTTTAAGTGACATCCTCTAAGCTACGTTAAGTTGCCATAATCAGACCTTAAGAAAGGCATTACTTTCAGAAATATACGAGGCACATTGTTTTATGTTTAATAGATTTTAAAAGTAAAAAAAAGACATATTAAAGAAAAACTTCAATTTTCACGGCTCAGCAAAAGTTTCGAAATTTTCAAGAGTTTTTCAGTTTCAAGAAATAACTTTCGCAAAAATGTCGAGCTTTTTAATTAGGCTTCATAGAAAGATTTTGGGAATGTAGTTTTATAGCCCATTTAATTTAGTTAATACAGTGCAAGTAGCTAGTACTTATAGCCCAAACACAATGAAAACGACGAGCTACGGACCACGGCTGTCAAATTATTTTAACACGTAATCTTATGTAGATAATTACTTTGGCGACGACTGGGCTACGCGACGACTGTGGTTATGGCCAGATTAGATCTATTTCTATTTTTCCAGCGACAGATAAGGTTCTTCCTCTTCTTTTATGTCAAACCTATACAAATTCATGATGTCGCTGCCGCATTCAAAAAAATCATATCGTCATCGACAAAGCGTTTAGATAATGAAGGTAACAAATTGGAAGCTGTGGCCCGTAGCTAGTCGTTTTCAATGTCTTCAGAACTTTCCTAAAATCAACTGAAAACTGCAAACATCCCTTAAGTACTAACTGCTTCAAACTTGCACTTCATTACACTAGAATTGAATGGGCAACAGAAATGCACACTAAGGGCTGGTTTCTCCAATTCAACTTAACTTAGTTTAGCCAGTTTTTGGACTTAAGTCAAAAGTTAGCCTACTTTTTACGCAGCATATTCTTGACTAAGTCTAAAAAATTGGCTAAACTAAGTTAAGTTGAGTTGGAGAAACCAGCCCTAAGTCGTTCTTAGAAATCTAATTAAAAAGCACGAATGTTTGTTGAATTTTTTTTTTAATACTTCACAAGTTTGAAACCTGTGGTGGGTTTATAATTATTACACGAGGTATATAACATTACGAGGAAATGAAAATATTGCCGTTAAGTAGACATAAATTGAGCCACAGTAAATTTCTTTGAGTATAAAAAATTGTCATCTACATAAGCAAAACTTAATCATTGTAAAATGTTTCTTCTTAGTTCCTAACAGAAAACCATTTCAAGATTATCTAATGCAATATTTCTTTAACACTAATACCCATCACTATTTTCTTTGTTTGTTCTTTTACCTCCGCTTAATAACATTTCAAAAACTATAGGACGCTACAGCCCCGTAAGGCGCGCATCCGAAGGATCGAAAGCACAATTCCAAGGACCATTACAAGAGTGTCAGTATCTGCAAAAAGTATCAGCACAACGTAATTTTTTGGTTGCACCAACACCGCCACTTTCAGATAATTCAATTAGTTTACCTGGTAAGCTTTACAAAAAAAAATCAGAATAGCAATATTTTAACTTGATTCAAACATACCTAATTCCTGTCGTAATCCTCAACTTGTTTATAGATTTTTTTTTTTTAATTGTGCTAGGCATCTTAGATTGAAGGGAAATATTTGCAGTTGTCCAGCCATTACCTACTAATTATTTAATAGTTCTACAGGACTTGTGTTCAATGGAGAGCGTTCCGGAGCAACGTACAAGCTGCAGTCTCCTTGAGATAAATCTTGAGCCATATTTTCCTAAAACCTTCCTATATTTTTATTGGCGCTATAAGCGCTTAAGTAGAGCTATATGAGACCTTGCTAGGGATTAAACAACTCGGAGAGTTAGTTTCATAGGGATATATACTGCTAAAAGCGAATTTAAAATCGAGAAGGAGGAAATTTAAACTCTAATTGTCAGTTTGGGTCGAGACAAAAAACTTTGCCAATTTCCTCTCTGCTTTGAAAAATTGAGTTAGTTGTCCATCTCGAGTGGTGATAAGTTCTTTTGCGCTTAGTCCTTCTATTATATTTGTGGCCGTCCTTGCTTTCGTTGTCCGCCTATAGGTGCCGAGTAGAAGTACCTTTACAATGGTGCCTCCTCTATACGCGAATAAACCTGAAAATTCATATATATGGGCTTTTAGACTCGCTGAACCCGAATCCGAGGTCCGTTAACCTTTGTTTATGTTGTCGCTAAATCCGAATATGGGGATCCCTTGGTTCTTCAAAGTCATCTAGATGTCATGCCAAGGTCAAATTCAGAAGAAGTATATTGAATTTTCAGGTTTATTCAATGCATTTTTTGCCCTACTTTACCCTAAAATGACCTCGAACCTGACGTGATGGAGGCTAACAGACCTCGGATTTGCATTCATAACATCGGTTGGTTCAATATGGAGACTTTTTTTGTAAACCTATGTAATCTATGATATGAGCAACTTGTTCCTAGTTTTGGATTCTGAAGGGCCAGAGAGGTAGTAACTCTTCTTTGGGTAGCTTGGAACTAGACGATTGGGTCCACGAAACCTTATACGAGTAATCAATAAAAAACCAATGTTTGAATCAAGTTAATTTACAACAAAAAAAAAACTCTGAAACAAATTAAAAATATGCTTAGCTTGTTTGCACACTCAACTTATCTCCGTATTTGTATATAATCATCTATAATTATTTATCTACATACTAAGCTATTACCGCTCCTTCAAAAACTTATTTTCGTTATAGGTTCCCCCATACATGGCAAGCCCGCTCCGCACATGATATTCCGCCGTGGTCAAGATATTGAGGTACCACCTGAAGCTGTACGAGCTCTGATGCCGCAGCTTGATCGCCTTGTCAGGGAGCATCGACTGAGCACGGATATAGCCAATAAAGTAATAGCTACTGGTATGGTGCCGCTTGACTTAGCGTCCCATTTGGGCTTGACAGCACATTCCGCAAGTGCTGCCGTAAGTGGTGGCCACCTAGAGACGGCGTCGTCTCCCATGCAACACCAAGCAATGTATAGTTTGAGTGTGTCGCCACTCTCCTTGCCAAATAGCGCTAGCGCCAGCGTTATGGGCGCCGTTAGTGGACCGTTAACGGCACCACCAACTGCATGTAGCCACAATATGGGTGCACACTCGAAACAGATGCTGGGTCAAGGTCCATACCAGCAACAGTATTTGGGTCTAATGCATCCGCAAATGCATTATCCCGGCAATGGACTGGTTGGTCAATTCAGTCACATAACACTTAGTGCGGGTGTGAGTACTTGCGCGAGTGCAGGTCAATTTAGTGGTTCAAATAGCAGTAGCGGTTGTCAGTCGCCCATTTATAGCAGTTTTAGCGGCTCATCTTCACCCAACCCCTATATGCCAGGCGCAGGGCCATTCAATCCCTGCAGTATTGTCGGCAGCGGTGGCGGCGGTGGTGGCTCATCACCACTGCATCAAATTACGAAAGGTATCTCGGTGCTTTCCACTGGCGGCGGTGGTTCGATTACACGCGGCACTTCAGCTGCCAGTGAAATAGCCTCCTCCGCAGCCGCCGCTGCTGCTGCAGCCAATCAGCCGCTAGATCTTTCCATGGATGTGTGTGCTTCGGACAGCTCTGCTGCGGAAACGCCCACGAATGCATTTGCTCAACAACATGTCAACTGGATGTTGCCGCAAGTAACTTGCTTCGATCTCAAGCCGCTAAATTTGTCGCCAGCACAGCCGGTGCGGGTTGTGCCCACGCCACCTGCCTCGCCCAATCTTTGTATCATACAGGAGGAGAATGCCAATGGACAAATGTATCATACCATCACAACGGGTACGCCACATGCAGGCTGCACCGGCGGGCTAATCAACGAGGATTTAGCATCGCCATGTCAACCGTCGCATCCGCAAATATGTCTGACAGATGTGCAGGGCAGCGAGATCACGTTGGTGGCGCTGAGTTCAGAAAATAGCCGGGACAGTGACTGCGATTCGCTAGAGCCGCACACGTCTCTGATGTCATTACAGGTGAGTGGTAGCACCAAAGGGAGTAGAGTACGAATATTTTGGTAAAATTGTGGATCGCGAAAATCGCGCAAAGTCAAACTTTTTTTTGTAGAAAAAACACACATTTTCGATTACGTCCAAAATAATTACTCTATTTCTCCAACAGGGACTTATAATCACTGAACCTTCCAGCGATATGCCTTCGATTACACGTGGCATAGGACGCAAAACTAGTTTAGAATGCGCTAACGACAGCCACACGACGCGTCTAGAAAGCGATGCTAGCACGTCCAGTAATGCACAAAACGCCAGCGATTCACATCGACGCGGCAGTGATAAATCGCTTGGCTTCTCCGACGATTCACTAAGTAATGATTCAAACAATCTCTCACCCTGTCAAGAGCCTTCCGCTAGCTCCGGCTTCAAATCGGACTCACATTCCGAGATTGGCGATCATACCGAGGGACATTTATCACCCGATTCCATTTGCGATTCACGACGCATGTCAGAAGAGATGTGCTACGAAGTGCCGTTGCCGCATGAATGCTCCAACCTTGACCCGACACGCATACTGGAGTTGGTCAAACAAACCATTGACCAAACGATGCCACCAAAAGGTGCAGTCCTGCACAAAGGACTGCCGGAAGAGTACGTTGGTAGCGCGAGCGTAGCTGGAGCAACTGGTGAGACACGCATAAGTAACGCCAGCGAATCATCAGCGACATCGATGGACACCAGCAGTAGCACGTCAGGCTACTGTGGCGGCTTTGGCGGTACCGTTGGAGTTGGCGGAGGTGGCGGTAGCACAAGTACAAATCTTAGCTTGGAGTACTCGGGCGGCCTACAAATCGAGTTGCAAGTGTGTGAAGGCCGCAGCCGTGACAATCAAATGGCTGGCAAAGGTATCAAACTGCGACGCATCTCGGGCGATCAATTCGAATATGGCAAATTGTGTCAGCAGTTGATTAACAAGTTAACCATGCAGCAGGTAGCCGGTTAAGTACAAGTGCAAGTAAAAAAGAATTGTAAGCGTGAGTAAACCGTGAGCACTTTGGATGTACATACCTACATATGTATGTATGTAGTATGTGCATAGCATTTATGGTAGCACGTGGCGTGGCGTATAAGTAAGGCGTGTAAATCAGGAGCGTGTAAAAGACATAAGTAGAAAATAGACACTACTGTTGAACGTTGAATAAACGTTAGTACAAAATCGCAATTGTACACACAAGTCAAAGCGTTGAATTCTGTAGATTTCCAAAAATCCGTATGTACATACATAAGTAACTAAGTACGTGTGTATTAGATTAACAATTTTAAATCTTTATTCCTCTAAATGTGCGTGCGTATGTATGTATTTTTTTGTTATTATATATTTAAGAATTACCGGAACTGAACAGATTTTTAATCGATCGATGTTAGTGTTTGTATGCAATTAGCGCGCTCTGCGAGATTTTAAAGCGAAAGGCAACCAGCGGTAGTTGCATTAACACATACCTAAATATGTATGTAACTGTAATTAGTATGCAATTTAGGGACGAATTAGCTTAACAGAAGAACTAAAAAACATGAAATGATATATGCATCCATTTACATTAGAGCGGGTCAATTTTTTTACTATGCGCGTATAGCCGTGTAATTCTAAGCAAATTTGTCGAAGAAGCCATGTGTCTAACATCAATTTGGAGTTGGCCAAATTACGAAAATAGGTTTGGAATAAAATGTAAAAATTTCTACTATTGCGCCCTCTGGTGGAAGTCCTAAAAAAGGTTAGGTGCAGAAACCGATTTCTCATACCAAAACCCCCTATAGCAAGTTTGTGTACAAAATTTAAGCACTTTTTTACGAGACTACAGCAAAATGGTAAGAAACCCATTTTCGCAATATGGCAAACTCCAAATGGATTTTAGACTAGACCCATGGTTTCTTCGAAAAATTTGCTTAGAATTACACGTAAAATCTTTTTGGGCTATGCGCTTATAGCCGAAAAAATCTCCCATACATATTGACCAGCTTTAATGTACATAATATGTACATAAGAATGCATAACTCTCTATATAAAAAAATCGGTGCTGTTTTTCTATCGGAAATATAAAATCTATTCTATTTTAAGTCTTCCGCCAAAATATTTTAGAAAAATATTAAGATTTGCGTGAGCTGAACCTTTTTGAAAATTCCTCCAAAAATATACTTTTTTATAATAATTATTTTTTTAATTTTTTTTAAATCACCTTACATGTTAAATGAGTTTGAGCTTAAAAGGTGTGAATGAAAATGTTTAAAAGATCCTATCAACGTAATGAAAATAAAGTAATTTTTGGGTTTTTTCAAAACGGTCTAGCTCACATAAATCTTAATATGTTACCGAAATATTTTGGCGGAAGTCTTAGAATATAATAAATTTTATAATTCCTTTGGAAAACCCGCAACGTTCTTTGGTGATGCACCCTTATGTACATAGATATATTTTTATTTAATTTCTTTTTTACAACAGAAAATCCCTTTTTTTGTAAATATAAATTCTAAATTGTAAAAACGCGGTAATAACCCAAATCCATGTTTTTAAGTACATATACATATACTATATATGTATGTATTTATGTATAGAGTTCCAAAAGTACCCAGTCTGTAATTGCACAACACTTCTTTGTAAATATGTAAACGCTTCCAGGCAGTACTTACTTTTGGAAGTTCCGTTAGAAGTTTACCAGTATTTAGCGGTAGCCAAAGTGGCAGAGACAGGTCTTCATAGCGTGGTATCACAAATAGAAAGGATTTGCCCTAGGGGAAACTCATTCCCTGCTGAAGTCGAAAACCAGAAGTCTGATGAGCTGATGTGGTGATCTCCGAAATAACAGCTATCTAGCGCTTACTCTTTGTTGCTCTTTCAATTTTTTCTGAAAATAAATTTTGGTATAAAGCTGAAAAATTTGTTGAAGTAAATAGCTGTTTTTTGGTAATTAAGATAGTAGGTATTATGTACGAATAATACACGGGAAAATGAAGTCTTTGGAATTTTTCCGCTGTCATCACCCAGAATTATGGAAAATAAAAAAAATAGGAAACCCATATTTTTTTTTTTTTTTTGAAATCGGTTACAACTCTTTAATGATGCCACCAGGACTTTAAATTTTTCCATGTAAATATAATTTTTCGTGCAACTGTTATAACACCGTTAAAAATAAAATAAATATTTTTTTTCGAATAAAATAATTTCCCTTCAGAAATCTTCGAAAACAATTAGGATACATATTTTACTTAAAAATTTTACCAACTATTTTTACTCCGAAAATCGGGGGAACGAACCGAACCGAATCATTTTTTGGAGTGGTTTTTGGTTCGGTTTTGGGATTTTAAAATAAAAACGGTTCGGTTCGGAGCCCGAAAAAAAGCGACGGTTCGGTTCAAAACCGGTTTGCAGCCCTGATTTTTACAGTTCGTGCGCGATTTGGTTACGAATACATAAATAAGAGATAAGACTATCGGCTATAAGTTCCGTCATTGCGAGAGTCGTGTCGAATGCATGTCGTTTTTCGAGAGTCAAATCGTATCGAAAATTTCATGTCATTGGCTAAAATTTCCGCTCGACTGGTGTATTAAAACGGAAAAACTTGGCAGCACTGCATAGTTTTCGACGATTTTCGTCGTTTACTTATTTCAGCACGACAGTAGGCAATGCCAATGTTGCCAAGTCGTACAATTCAATTTGAAGATTTCTGAAGTGAAATATTTTTATTCTATCGAAAAATATTTAATTTTAACGATTGTATAGCAGTTCTATACAAAAAGAATTTTCTTGTAAAATACATGGGAAACTTCAAAGCTCTGGCAGCACCAATAAATGTTAACCAATTTAAAAAAAATACTGGTCTCCTTATTTTCAATATTCTTCTGTTCTGGGAGGTGGCTGGGAAAAAAAGGGGACGACGAACTCGATTAACAACCATTCGCACTTTAGGAAAATTAATTTTTATTTCGAAAAGGAATGTTTAACGCCTATAACTACCATTAGTGCTCGTCTTCGTATGAACATTAGGGCGGGTAAATTTTTTTTCGACTACAGGCGGGTAGCATAGGAGGATTCTACGTGTAATTATAAGTAATATACAAACATACATATGTATATACATATTAACATGCGTTTATATTCTCGTCGCGAAAAACTATTTTGCATAAATTGTGCCACTGGAGAAATGAATGGGAATGTACATAAATATATACATACTTAAAAAACTGTTATTATTGTACAAAAATACAATTAAACTAGAAAATTTTAACTCCTCGAAACGTAATCGAAAAAGTATATTAATAAAATTTCCTCTAGAAAATACGCTAAATATTGTAAAATAGCAAAACAAATAAACATAAATGTGTTCTTCGCCTGAATTCAGCACCTCAAATGCAATTTGCACGCTATATATTCAAAAATTGTAACATAAAATTTTAAATCTGTACTAAGTAAGAAATAGTAACAATCGATAATGAAAGTAAAACTAGGGAGAATGCACAAAATCGTTTTAAGGTCGAATTATAAATGTTAAGTATGTATGTTTATTAGGCAGGTTAAAAAAAATTTACTATTTCTTTTTTTTTTATTTCCACCCGAAATATTTTCGGTGCAGTGAAAAAAGGCGCCTGCTAGAAGCGCAGCCCTTAATATTAAGAATTGATGGTCGCTCATCGCGAATTTCTACTTTCGGTATAAATAACACAGGAAAGACATTTTTTCAACATTAAAAATTTTATAACTCGTTTTTAGGTCAACGTATCGAAATGAGCGATATATGAACATATATTTTGACAATTGAAGGCTGTAAACAAGTCTCATATGATTTTAATTAAACGCAATCCTCGGTGAAATGTTAAAACTTATTTACTTACTTTTTTTTAATTTTATAATCTTTAATTTTGTTTTCTCCTTGGTTGTTTTATTTTAGAAAAAAGATCATATAACATAAATTATTACGTTATCAAGTTTAATATTGTTTTTTTTTTATCGTATGGAAGAAAATAACTGACATTGTCAAGAAAAAAATAGCCAATAAAACGGCAAGTCTTGGGTACTTCAAACTTGTATCTTGTTATACTAAAATTGAGTGCGCTACCAAACTGTATACTCAGAATCTAAGAAGTCGAAATTTTTACGAAAGTTTGGTTGTTTTTTTTTAATGTGCACAAAGTTTAATTTTTGGATTTATACGGTTTTTGTTAAAGAGTAGAGTATATTTTTATAAAAAAAAATATTTAAACTTAAAATCAAATAGTGTTTTTTTGTATTTGGCAGTTAATTGAAAATTAAATTTAAAAAATAAAAGATTAATAGTCAAAACTTGTCAATCTGTGGGTGGTGTATAATTGTGATATACACTTTATTAAGCTTTACGCTTCAGGATTTGTTAAATAATGTTTTTTTTTCATAGAAATTTAAAAAAATGTTATGACATTTAGTGTTTAGTTTTAATATTTTACCGAAAATTTAAATTTTGTATATGTTTGGCTTAAGCGATGGATAACTTTTGTTGGAGGAAATTTATGGAAAATTCATAATGCTGAATACACACGAGGCAACAGTTGAAGCAACCTGTTTTTCCTCTTCAATACACACGAGGCAAACGTAGAGACCATCGTACAGTTCCATAAGTAAAGTAACTCTTCTTCTTACCGTTTTCTCTGGCAGGCTGTAGGTGTGTGTTTGGCAGCCTATTGGTGGGTTTTTGGTTAGTGTATTGGTGTTTCTAGTTCGGTGTGTTAAATAGTGTATTTTGAATAAATTGTAATAGAAATAAAATAAATTGTGATAGAAAGGAAAGAAATTGTAAAAGATAAGAGCACATGCCAATAAATAGGTGATCTCAGCTATAAGCATTTTTTGACTATCAGCTGATAGTGTGTTTACTTATGAAACTGTACGATGGTAGAGACAGCCAACTCAAAATTGCGGCAACATGAATTTCAATGAGCAACAATGCTACATAGGAGGCAACGATCGAAGTCCTGATTGCTTCAACGGTTGTGTCATGTGTACTCAGCATAAGATACTTTTTTTACGTTGACTTAAAAACGAGTTATAAAATTTACAAATTAAAAACAACATAATGGCTCTGTTATTTATGGAAAATAAACACTCGCGATCTCTAAATATTAAAATTAGATGCCG